GAGCCAGAGCCATGTAGCCCTCACAGTAAGGATGGCAACGGGTCGGGTTCGGATCGGTTGGAGTCTCCGTGCACCCAAAACCGAAACCTGAAATCGAAACCCGAATCCGCCCCGAAAACCGATTCGGGTGGAAATCCATCACCAAAACCAAACCCGCGGATACCCGAAACCCGAACGGATACCCGAAACCCGCGGATATATATACACATATTCACATGTATAAACAAGAGGCAACAAATAATAAATATTTGCATGAGTCAACTTTAAATAAATTTAATAATCTAAGTAAACAAATTATTATTAGTATATTATAAAACATGAGTTTTAATTCCAAATGATTTATTTCGGATATCCATTGGATATCCACGGGTGGAAAACCAAATCCGAAACCGAACCCGATTGGTTTCGGGGCCCCGAACCCGAAAACCGTGGGTGAAAAACCATCCCCAAACCCGAACCCGCAGAACTCGAAACCCGCGGATATCCGCCCCAAACCCGATCCGTTGCCATCCTTACCTCACAGCTGTACGGGTTGTCCCAGCTTTTGCCAAAGGATAAGTCCTTTTAGTCATCTTTTAATGTATTGCTTATTCCATTAATCAATTCACATGATCATTGTCATTGCTTAGCACTAGCATAAATACTACCCATGCATATATCCCAAGGTTTTCAAGGTAACTGAGTATTCAATCTCTAGGAAATCCTACCATAGGTAGCAAGGAAGACACATGCGTATGTGTTTTAGTGAGCATCATGAATAGGACAACAAGGAAGGTCCTTAGCTATACTTGTCTTGATTAAAGTTCTCCTGAAAGTCTGGTCTTGTGCTGGTCGTAGAAGTTCTCTTGATCACCAACGAAAACCTCACCGTCTGAACTCGATCAACAACACCAAGCAGCAACATACAATCATTCGAGCAATCATACACGAGGCAAACAAATAGATTTAATTAGAACAGTACACCAACAGAGACAAACATTTTTGAAAAGTTTATAAAACTATTCTACACGTTGCTACGATCACACAGACGCGAAGATCACGAAAAACGGAGTTACAACGAGAAAGTTATGATCAAAACAAGTTTCCCTATTAAAGAAATAGATTAAATCTAAATTCGAAATTTAAAGTTCAAAAACATGGTGACAAATTATATGAACAGATAGATCTCGAAAAGACGAATCTAACGCAAGTTGAACGGATCAATTTGGAGTTAAAATGAGCATTTTATAAGCATTTGAAATCAGTGGCAAAACTGTAATTAGATGGAACTTGATTTTGAATCTGTTAAATGAAAAATACGTTTTCCAAAAGAGAAAACGTATTCTCTGGAATACGCTTTGGACTGCGGGTTCAAAATCTAAAGAGCTCAGGGGCTCTTTAGCAAATATTCCCCGCGAAGGGGTGTCGGCCTCTGCTGGCCGTCCGATCAAGGATGACCGGCCGAGATTAGATCGGCGCGGGTGACGGTGGCAACGGGCCGGAGAAGAAGGGCCACACGGCGGCGCTCCATGACCGGTGGCGAGGACCTCGCCGGCGTTGCCGATTCGGGCGATTCCGGCCATCCCAAGACACGGGACCGGTACCAATCGAAAGAGGAGCTCACCCCGTAGTCACCCAAGAGGAAGATGGAGTCGGTGACGGGTCGTGGACGGCGGGAGGCTCGCGTCGTCGGACGGCGGCAAACTGCACACGCTAACATCGCAAAGTGAGCAGAATTGAGCCAAATTAAGGATCTCAGGAGGTTTGCGAGGTCAAGGCGAACTGGTTCGCGAGCTTACAAGGGCGAAAGAGCGACAAGGCGGCGCAATTGACGGCGACAGCGGTTGGCTAGGGTTGCGGCTGCCGCTGCTAGCTCGGAAAGCGAAGGCGGCGTTCGCTAGGGTTGGGAAAAAGGCGATGCGGGCGCGCGCACGTGATTTATAGGGTGAAGGCGCGGTGCGGACGCACGGCTCGTGGACCGGTGCCCAGGCTCTCGGTCGGATTCGAGTTCGACTCGATGAGGAAGATGGTGACGCCGGTTCCTGGATGCCTGACGTCAGCGGCCAAGGGAAGAAGGGAGGCGGGCTGCTGCTCGCGGCTGGGCCTTGGCCCCGGCCCAAGAAGAAACGGCGGCGCTGCTGGACTGGGCCAGAAGGAAGGTTGGGCCTCGCGGCCAGAACAGAGAAGAAGGGATTTCCAATTTTTTTTCTCTTTTTATTTTCCAGAATTTTTAAATGGATTTTCAAAAGGGATTTGAATTCCTTTTCACATGCAAGAAAAACCAGTCCATCACAAATGAAATATGCTCCAGCATGAGTGCATCAACATGTCTCTAGCCTTAGGATGAATTTTAATTTCACAAAAAATATTTATTTAACTAATGTGGCATGCTCACATAAATGCACTAAAATCAATTTCAGCTATTTTAAAATGATGCAAAATTTTGGGTGTTACACAGAACCGCGCGTGGGAGCTTGTGGAGCTTCCTCCCGGTCACCGGCCCATCACTCTGAAGTGGGTCTACAAGCTCAAGAAGGACGAGCGGGGCGCGGTGACCAAGTACAAGGCGCGCTTGGTGGCGCGGGGTTTCGTCCAGCAGGAAGGGATCGACTTCGACGACGCGTTTGCTCCCGTGGCGCGCATGGAATCCGTCCGAGTCCTCGCGCTGGCGGCCCAAGAAGGATGGCGTGTCCACCACATGGACATCAAATCGGCCTTCCTCAACGGCGACCTCAAGGAGGAGGTGTACGTGAAGCAGCCGCTTGGCTTCACCGTCGCCGGGAAGGAGAAGATGGTGTACCGTCTGCGCAAGGCTTTGTATGGCCTACAGCAGGCTCCGCGAGCTTGGAACGCCAAGCTTGACGCCACCCTCAAGGAGATGGGTTTCCAGCAAAGCGACCATGAAGCTGCGATGTACAAGCGAGGGACAGGGGAGGAGTTGCTGCTGATCGGCGTCTATGTTGGCGACTTGATCATCACCGGTGCCAGCGCTCAAGCCATAGAAGTTTTCAAGGCTCAGATGAAGAAGGTTTTCGACATGAGCGACCTCGGCCTCCTGTCCTTCTACTTGGGGGTCAAAGTACACCAAGATTCAGCTGGGATCACACTGAGGCAAACCCATTATGCCAAGAGGATCCTTGAGCTAGGAGGTATGGATGCTTGCAACCCTGCCCATACACCAATGGAGGAGCGGCTGCGGTTGAGCAGGCAGAGCACGGCTGCAGAAGTTGATCCTACCCAATACAGAAGATTGGTGGGCAGCCTGCGCTACTTGGTCCACACAAGACCTGACTTAGCCTTCTCAGTAGGCTTTGTCAGTCGATTCATGGAGAGGCCGACTGCAGAGCACCAAGCTGCCATCAAGCGCATCGGCCTGCACTACACCAAGGCTCCAGGGAGAGCAAGGTTTGTTGGGTACTGCGACAGTGACTTGGCTGGGGACATTGACACCAGCAAGAGCACTAGTGGCACTCTGTTCTTCCTGGGAAGCAATCTTGTGTGCTGGCAGTCAGTGAAGCAGAAGGTGGTGGCTCTATCTAGTTGTGAAGCTGAGTACATTGCCACTACCACAGCTGCAACACAAGCTATTTGGCTATCCAGGCTGCTGGCAGACCTCCTTGGAAGGAATGTGGAAGTGGTCGAACTGAAGGTTGATAGCAAGTCTGCACTTGCTCTAGCCAAGAATCCAGTCTTTCATGAGCGCAGTAAGCACATCAGAATCAAGTATCACTTCATCAGAAACTGCTTGGAAGATGGAAGTATCAGGGCTGATCACATATCCACCACTGATCAGCTGGCTGACATTCTAACCAAGTCTCTTGGAAGATCAAAATTTGAAAAGATGAGGGGAAGAATTGGGCTCAAGCACATCACTTCCAAGGACCACAAGGCTAAATGGGAGAATTGTCAGCAGTTAGCCTAGTGTTCATGTTTTCCAGTTGCCTACTATAGCTATTTACTATTCACTGTCATGTAACTTTTCAGGTTCCTTGGCAACCAAGTTGATCATGGTGCCTTGGCAACCAAGCAGGAATCATATGCTTTATGCAGTTAGAATATGCTAAGGAGTAGGTACACCACTTGCTTATATATGCAGTGGTTGGCATCTTTTGTATCCAAGTTGTTATTGCAATTCAATACAATCCAAGCGGCCTGCTGGCCAAGCTGCCCTCTGGCAGCCCCAATTCGCCAACACTAAGTTCATAAAAAAATGCACCAACATCTAGAACATCAAATTAGTTTCATCAAATTCTTCATGAAATGTCTTAATAATGTATGTACTGTACTTTCGATGCTAATATGTTTTTCCAGTTTCTTGATCAAAGTTTGAAAAAGTTTGACTTATGACAAGTCACCCATAATTTGAAATGAAGTAGCAAAATTACTCATGCTAGTTTTGAGGTTGTGAGAGGTTTATTTTTATTTTTATTAAAAAAATCATGTTTACAAGTGTACATAGAACTGAGTGAAAAATATGAGTTGACAATATGACCAGCAGGGAGTAGTTGGAAATTGTCTACTCTATGGGAATCAGGAGGCTACTTCATGCTTTAGGACCCTGGGTCGACATTGTTTCACATTCATTGCTTACTGTGCCTTTGTTCAGATATTCTGTTTTGCTCCGGATTATTGTCCAAATTTGTATTCATTGTTTCAAATGATATTTAAGTTAAATTGTTCAGTAACACACTAGTTCTCCATGATAATAATGCTGTTGTGACAAGATATAGCAGGCAGCTCTCCTGCCGGTTTGTTTTTCTAGAAAAAGTGAAGCTAAGGGATTACAGCCTTGAAAGAAGATCCCTCTACAATTCATATAGATTATAATATCCAGTGTGGATTATTGTTACTGTACCAATGTTTCAAATTTCAGTGCAACGTTTGTAAGCACTGATTTCTGTTCCACTTCTTAGTTTGCTTTGACATTATGCTTTTATTCTATTCTATCTATTTTTTTTTTGCTTTCAAATTCTTTTAAATACATATGCATGTAGGTACTATTTGCCCATGGAGATGTTCCCATGCCAATATCTGAATTGCCTGGGTGTGTTACTCAATCACTCATCATATCAATGTTACAGTCTTTACTATTCAATTATCGATGTTTTGTCTTTTGTTGTGAGTTTTAAATTTCCATTTTACTTCTCAAGCTTGCATTTCTTTCATTTTATTGTTTTAATAGGTTGGTTTGTGAAGACATTTCAAATGGTCAGGAGAACTTTCGGATTCCTGCTACAAATTTAGTTGATAATTCTCCTATCCCTCCATCTGGTATGCTACATACCTTAAAGGAAACTTCTTACCCACTGTTATTAGCTCTGTTGCACATTTTTTGAACTTCATTCATTATTAAGTTATGCAATTGTCCTTGTTTTCTGCTGCTTGTGTTGGAAGATCGATTGCTTCTTTTAATGTTTGAGGTTATTTGATCTTTTGTCTTCTTTTACTAACAATATAGTATTGGAAGGTAAGATTTCCTGTTTAACATTTTTGTTGTATTTTGCTGGCTGGAAACATGTTGACTGAAAACAGTTACTTTCATTGTCTGTGGGTGGTTGGGCCCGGGGGGTGTTCTTGAGGTGGGTGGGGTGTTTTTAATTTTTTTTTTTTGGGTGGGGGTAGTGCCCTAATTGGATATTAAGTTTTCTTTTTTCACTTTCTTGTATCGCACTCTAATTTTTTACCATTTGGTTAACATTCAGGTTAGTGGAGCCAAAGCCTGTTGTTTTTTTTTTAACACAATGGCAGGAGCTCTGCCTTTCAATTAAGATAGGGAAAGAAAGTTTATGTACAAGCAAAGACAGACGAGGTTAAGGTTTCATCCCCCCCTGTTGTGTATGAGTGTGGTACTACTTGTACCTGCCACTGCAACTGTGTTAATAGAACCTCCCAGCAGGGATTGAAGTATCGCCTGGAGGTTATTATTTTCTTTAGTCTTTTGTGTTGGTTATCATGCTTCATTTTTCTTTACAATGTTTATTGAATTGTGAATCCAGGTATTCAAGACAAAATCAAAAGGTTGGGGTGTTAGGACCTGGGACTCTATTCTTCCTGGGGCCTTAATTTGCGAGTACACTGGGGTATTAAGGAGGACTACAGAAGTCGAAGGATTGTTGGAGAACAACTACATATTTGATATAGATTGTCTTCAAACAATGGAAGGGCTGGATGGAAGAGAGGTATTGGATGTTTTCGTTGTTTGCTGGTTAAACGGAACTGTTCTATTGGACCCCTTTTTTTGTGGTGGATTTTCTTTTTGGAAGTGAAACCATTCTAACCTTGATTCTCATCTTTTGGACAAATCTTAACTCTTAAAAGAGCCGTTGATACTTTGTGATAGCACAAGTACCTGGTCTTATGTTGATTTTGGTTGCTTCACAAGTAATTTTTATTCATTGATATCGACGAAGCAGCAGAAATATTAGAAAAATGCTGAGCTTCTCTGTCCCTGCTTGAAGTTGTCATTATTTTTCTTCTAAAAGAAAAATATTGTCATTCTTTCCCCTTGTTGAAATGCCATGTGGTGTCTGAACACATATAGTTACAATGCTGTTTTTTTTCGAAAACGCAGGAGAGCTACGTTTCATTGTACTAGAGAGGTGATCTCAATGCTGTTTAATTGTTTTTTTTTCTACAGCAAAGGGCTGGCTCGGAACTGCACATGGCATCACTTCATTCTGAGCATGACTCGGAGGTGGCATCTCGAACACCTGAATATTGCATTGATGCTGGTTCTGTTGGCAACATTGCAAGGTTCATAAATCACAGTTGCCAACCCAATCTTTTCATCCAGTGTGTGTTGAGCTCACATAGGGACATCAAGCTAGCAAAAGTTATGCTTTTTGCTGCTGATACCCGCTTCAGGTGAGCCTTCATCACTAATGCCCCCCCCCCTGGTGAAAATGCCAAAACATGTTTAGAAATTCAGTTAGGATTAAATCATACATGTTGAAGCGACAGCATTTAGTAATTAGTAATTTGACTTAATAGTAGTAATCATTTAATAATGATTGATTCATTTATTTCCATGTTACATTCTTTTCTGTTCAACCATGTTTTTTCTCGGCTTTCAAAACATAATGCAGTTGCACTCATATATTAGGCCTGTTGGGCATCGCTCTACCTCCAAGATCCATGGAGATAAAATTAAGTGGTCTAGACTAAGTCCAAAATAAGATTAAACCTGTTTAACAAAACACCTTTAATGTGCCCAGAGCTCCGGCCCTACCCCTATCTTTAGAAATTCTTAGAGCTGGAGTTGTACCAAACAAACACATAAGATACAGTTATGTTACTAGAGGACTACATATGTAAAGAGAAGTTCTTTAAAGAAAAAAAAAAGGTAGACCAAGCTAGGAGAAAATAGTGGTTTTATATTAGGAACAAGATTGGTACCTAAATTAGCCTCAACAAGGACTTCAATCTAGATGGTATGGACGTACATCATGTACACCCTCAGCCAAACTGGGCTAGGCTTGTTAAGTAGTAGTTGTTTTATTAAAAAAATAATAATAATGCACTAAAAGCCCCCAAACTTGCAAGATTGTTTCACGACCACACCCTTTGAACTTACAATTTCCTTTAACAGGCCCTTGAACTTGCATGATTGTCTCACCTAACCATAGTGAATTGAAAAACATATGATCATGTATCATTTGTGCAACTGGTGTACCATAATATGCCTTCTATCTTCCTGCTGTTGGTTTGCTGACTTTGGTCAAATAAAATGTTTTGCCGATCTAATGTATTCCTTTTCCCCCAGTTTTTTTTAACCAAGATTACCATGTAACTGTTGCAGGAGCTCTCGTACGACTACGGGTATCGGCTGGACAGTGTCACTGGGGCAGATGGCAATATTTGTGAAGCTGGCTTGCCACTGCGGTGCATCTGATTGCCGCAAACGACTTTACTAGATTCTCAGCCATGTTGTATGATTAAACTCAGACACTATACTCCATTATGCCCGTCCTTTTTGGATTATACTTCAGTCTTCAGGATGCTTCATTAGAGAGTGTTATGCTCATTGTGCGGCATAGTAGTAGAAATAATCCTGATGAAACTTCTCAATGCATGCTCTGGGTAGTTGAACATTCTATCCATTGGAATTCCATTTCGATATGAGGCACTCTTGCTAGTTTGCGAACATGTGGTCTTCACTGATGAAACAAATTCGTATTATTTGGTATGGAATTGTGCATTATGGCCTACTACTTTAGAAAACGTAAAGTTTATTCAGAAATGCTATACAACACACATGTGTTTTAGAAAAAAAAATAGTCCCTCTCTCTCTTTTCAACTGTCTTCTCGGCCTTGTGCTCGTCGTAGGATATCATTCCAAGGAGCAGGTCGTCGACGAGACGGAGGCCACGCCGCTCACGCGTTCAGGTCCAACGGACAATGCTCCTCCCTGGTGCTTGCCGTTACCTCTGCTGTCGACTGGGAACCTTTTTTTTTTTGTCTTTGCATAGAAAAAAATTGTTTCTCTTTATCTGTGGATATGTGATTGTCTGGAGGTAGAAAAAAACCAGAGGTAAAAAGAGACTGGAGGTTGTTGGATCTTAATTCTATAATGCAAAAAAAAAATCATGCGTTGAAACCGCATAAAACATATAGTTCTGGGTAGACAGACTAAGTTTATTTCGTGACAGTCACGTTTCGTCGCCACCGTGTGACTCCTCTGCGGAGTCAGCCTCTCTCTTAGTCTCCATCTCCGGCGGGTTTAGAAGGGGCTCGGAAGGTAGGCCAGCTTGGTGGTGGGGACGGGAGAGAGGCAGAGGCGGTGGTCGGGCAGGGGCAACCATGGCCATGGTGGCGGCGGGAGAGGGGGAAAGGAGGGCCATGGACATGGTAGGGTCTCGCCGTCCCAACCGGCAGCGGCGGCGGCGGGTCATGAGCTCGCCAATAGTGCGACCCATCTGTAGCTGCGTCCGAAAGAAAACATGTTTTTCTTTTTCAGTTGTGCTTTCGCTGCATATGTTCTAGACATTTTTTGTGTTCACCAGATAACCCGGCCTTCTAGGGTGACACGGTAACCATGATCCATGAACAAAACATTATTAGTATTTTAATGACCGAACTCAAACCAAGTGGATGGAGAATTTGGGAGAGAAGATGTATGCGCAGGATCAGATTTGTTGAAGCAACACAAAATCAGAGGCACCCAATGGCCAGCCTCAGAACCATGCACATCAAACCGCTTGCTGCTTGCCTACTTCGTGGACCCAAATTTCCGGTAAAATCCGGGCGGCGCGTCTGCAGGGACGCCGCCTTCGGCTGCCGGCACGGCGCGGATCTCCTGAGACGCCATTTCCTCGTTGACGTTCCTGAGCAGCTTGGTCACGCCGTCCAGGAACTCGATAAGCACCGGGTCTTGCACCGGCGAGGACTGCACGCAGCAAACCCGCTCAACGCCGACCACCTCCCGGCTCCCGGCGCGCGGTCCCTTCGACCACCGCACCGTGAAACTGCACGAGCACCGCTCCTTGCCGTCAACGATCTCGTGAGCCGCCGGCAAGACCTGCATCAGCGTGTCCAGCTTTCACGGTCAACAAACACCAAACACCAGCATTGACATTTGCATGTGCGTATTTGTGCAAGGATGGAATGAAAGGAACGTACGGACTCGAGGACGGCGTCGTAGAACTTGAGGTCGCCGCCGTCGAGCGCGCAGGAGACGCAGAGCAGCGCGCCGGCTCGGAGATCGCGGCACTGTGTGTCTTCCAGGGGCGTTGACCTCGCACGGAACCTGGCGCGGAGCGTGGCCACGTCGCGCGCGGAGGCGGAGGCGGCGGCGAGCGCTGCGGGGTCGTACCACTCGTCCAGCTCCTCGAGGAACCCCTCGTACATGACCCGCAGCGCGCCGCACTGCACCGTCACGCGCGCGTCGTACCACGCGCCGTCCACTGGGGCACGAAACTCCAGGAGGGACGGCGGGCGCCGCCGTGGCTCGGGCTCGGGCGCCTTCCGCTTTCGCGGCGTCGGCGGCATTGCTGCGACGCGGTGGGGTGGGGTGGCGCAGTGGTGGAGAGCCGGAGGCTACTGAGTAGTACTAGTAGCGAAGAAGGAGCGGGGAGCCGGAGACTACGGAGTAGAACGTACTAGTGGCGAAGAAGGAGCGGGTAGCGTAACTGAATGCTGTGCTCTTTGGAAGCTGCGATCGTAACGCTCTGTTATTAGTCTCGTTTTCAGCTTTGACTCGTGCGGCTATGTTTAGGCTTCGTTTAGTTCCTCCAGAAGTTTACAACTTATCCCATCAAATATTTAAATATATGTATAAAATATTAAATATAGATTAAAAATTAATTAATTATATAGATTACGACTATTTTACGAGACAGATCTTTTAAACCTAATTAGTCCATTATTTGATAATAAAGTACTACCGTAACACATGTATTAATGATAGGTTAATTAGGCTAACAAATTAATTAGGCTTAATAAATTGGTCTCGTAATTTATTTACGGATTTATAATTTATTTTTTTATTACTATCAACACCGTCTGCGATATCCCATGTAACCGCATTTGACACCTCCAAACTTTACTTACCGCGACTAAACGAGCCCCCATCTACTCCGTTGTGCAATTAAAGCTCGGAGGAAAACCAAGGGGGCAGCCCGGCAGACGGCAGTGGCCCCCAACCTGCAGCTTTGACCGTGCGTCCCATCCATTGCGTCGCCCCCGGCGGTGCCAGCCGACAACCGTTGCTCGCGGCCGGCGCGCATGCATCCTCTCCGGCCAGCGCCCGTCTCCGTGAAACGCGTGGTGGTCGGTCGCAGACTCGCAGCCGCAAACTCGGCTACAGTGCTCGCGTGGCCCGACAGGGAAAAGAAAGAAGCACGGCTTGACAGCTCGTGATACCGACTCGCACAGAGATCCATCGAGCGAAGCGGCAGCCGGGCAGCCGGCAGCCGCCGCCTGAAGCCTGACGGGCGCGCTGCTCCAGGATGGAGGCTCGGCGTGGAAAGGCTGTGCGCATGCAGCTGCCAACCGAACCGAGGAGAAGCAGCAGAGCAGAGCTCGAAATCGAATCCACTGCAGCAGCTGGAGCTGGAGTGGGACAGCGCGAGAGAAAAGGAGAGACAACTGTGACGGTCTGACCTGCAGCGGCCGCACCAGCCAGCAGCAGCGCGCACTGCTTCAGACCTGGCCGCCTGGGCTAGCTAGATTCACGGAGGCCGGCCCCGGTCTGTCCTGGCGGACGCCGGACGCCCCACGCGCTGGCGCTGCGGCGCCAACGGCCATTCGGCCACGGTTGCGTGCTGCCGCACCCAGAGACCCACAAAAATTTGCCGTTGCAAAACTTGCAATATTTTCTTCCTGCCAAAAATTGATCACAAAAATTAGATCACCCCAACAAGACCATTTCAGGTCAGCATTTATCCGAGGTGCAGAAGAGAGAATCGATGAGCCTGCTAACGAGCTGTCAGGCTGTGATTTAGACTGAATCCATCGTGCGAGATTGGTAAACCCGCACCATGCAACCATCTCTCCATATGCGCCAATCACCACATACCAAACCATGTTTCAGTTTCAACCCATTCTAAACCAACTCGTTGGCCTATGGATTCAACCCATCTGAGACTTCCCAACCCTTGATTCTCCAATCAAATCAAACCGCATGCAACCTGTAAGGCAAGATCCTTCTCTTGAAAATACGTACTGCAATAAAATTGCATGCAACATGCAAGGAAGGTTGTGACATCAACAAGATCGAGAGAGATCTAATTAAACTTCCAAAACTGTTCCGGAAATTCAAAAAAAATAATGATACAAAGGGGAAATGGTATAGAAATAGTATCAAACCACGACAGCAACAAAAGAGGTATATCATTTATGAGTTTGACATGATACTCCCTTTGTCTTTTTACATGTCACGTTACCATTGTTCTAAGTCAAACATTATTATCTTTGATTATCTATTTTAAAAAATCTTTATAGTTGACAACATATTAATTACGTTATTAAATTATTTCTTATAGAGAATCTAAAACATAAATCTTATGTCAAGAATCTATATATTATTTTTTTAATCGATGATCAAAGATACAAATGTTCTTAAAATCAAGTTAATACAACATGTAAAAAAAAACGAACGAAGTACATGTATAGTCAATTTGTCGCGTCTACTCCACCCTCCTTGTCCATTCTGAATTCTCTTATTGAACTATGAGCAAATGGACGAACACCATTCTGCTGATGACTGCATGAACGGGACAGGTAAATTGGTTACAACTTTAACCAAACAATATTGACGTGACTTAAATAAAGGAGCCAAAGTTGACAGACGCGATAGCAGTACATATATGGCTAGACAATGTGCATGGTTGATACACCCGCAATTTGATTTGAGAAGAAGGCAGTAATATACGTGATACTACTAGCCCTCCTCGTCCTCCGGTTCCGGGCATTGACCAAAAAAAAAATTTGGTTAGTTTACCAAAAAAGAACTTGAGCATGTGTCTTTGCTTGACTCCATCACTTGAAATTGAGCAAATGTTTTTAGCACTCGGGCCATTTTTTAATTGCTATTTGCAAGCCTCATCCATCCTCCTCCTTGACTCCTTGGCCCTCTTCTTAAAGCCAACTCTCCTACCATCAACAATAATCGAGTATCACATCTTCCAAATTACCCATACATGATATGCTATCTTTTTTGTCTTGGGCTTGGACATTTGAATACTCAACCTCGTGTGAAGAATTTGAGGTTTCTTCACCATCATCGTCGCCCTCTTCTTCTTCACTTACCTTGATTCTTGCCCACCTTGGCTCGTTCTTGCTCTTGCGCTTGCTCGTAACGGCCAAGCTCTTGATATGGAGTTGGCGAAGAAGTGTTCTTGATGCCCATTCAAAGCTCATGAGCAATGATCTTGTCGTACTTGATTTGGTGTTATCTCATCAAGAGATGATCATG